TCAGGTTATGTAGTTGTAGTAGCAGCAGAACTAGTTGTAGTAGTAGTAGTAGTAGTAGTAGTAGTAGTAGTAGTAGTAGTAGTAGTAGTAGTAGTAGTAGTAGTAGTAGTAGTCGTAGTCGTGGTGGTGGTAGTAGTAGTAGTAGAAGTAGCAGTAGCAGTAGCAGTAGTAGTAGTAGTAGTAGTAGTTGTAGTTGTAGTTGTAGTTGTAGTGGTAGTGGTAGGCGTAGTCGTAGTCGTAGTCGTAGTCGTCGTCGTAGTCGTCGTCGTAGTCGTAGTCGCCGTAGTAGTCGTAGTAGTAGTAGTAGTAGTAGTAGTAGTAGTAGTAGTAGTAGGTAGTAGTGGTGGTGGTGGTCGTGGTTGCACATAGCAGCCGCAAAAGCGGCAGCAGCAGCACAGTAGTAGCAATAGTGGTAGTAAGAGATAGTAGTAGTCGTCGTGACAGCATTAACAAGACGAGGCAATCAACCATAGGATTGGCAGTTGTTGGAATTTGAGTGCTTCGTATACCCCCAGAAAGCGGCCGCAGTAGGAATATCGATGGCGCATTCTGAGCATGGGCTTCCGCTTGGCCGGGATGACCTGTAGCCTTTCCCACTGTCTCTCAGGTCTGGGTTTGCTAGGGAAGTACGACCTATCTTCTTGTGGTCCCCCGGCAGGCGAGGATGATGCAGCTTTCGACAGGGCACCTGCAGACAGATGACAAAAAGTAGTGCGTGTTATGCAGCAGCAGAGGACGAGGAGAGGAGGAGTAGGAGCAGGAGCAGGAGCAGGAGCAGGAGCATGAGCAGCAGCAGCAGCAGCAGCAGCTGCAGCAGTAGCAGTAGCAGTAATAGTTGTTCGCCATAGCAGGATCAAGATATGAATGTTCCGCAGCACGATATCCAACCGAGGGAGAGAACTAGTCAACAACAACTTTCTCATCGTGCGCATGATCAGCCGGCTATAGGTCCTATAGGTTCAAATCCGAAAGGATTTTCACGCCAGGCATAACCGCACACAACATTTAATTAACATGAACAGTGAACACTACACAGTATTCTCGGCTTGATTGGGCTACGCTTGAACTGTCCTCATCGTGGTAGGAAGAGGGAAGGCTTCCACACCGGTTTGAAAGTCACACTTTCCATTTGCTGGTCTCGCGCACGCTTTTCAGATCCGAGTGCAACGCGGATGTCGTGGCAACACTATTCTTAAGTGCGCAACGTGATCCTTGCATCGATGACGGAGCTCACATAAAGCAAGTCAAGCAGTCTAGTCACGTCTCTTCATCTTGTCCTCGCACCAGGTCCCAGAGCAGCAGGTCAGCAGGTCCCAAGCAGATAAGAATCTGAAGACGTGCCGAGGTGCCACAGATCCGATGTCTCGTCGGCAAGGAGCTGGGAACTGGCAGCTGGCCTTCAACAGCTTGACAGCTTGGGCTTAGGGTTTCAGGCTAAACCCAGCTCACGCACAAGCGTTCGGATTAAGGTTCATGGTTTCAAGAGGCGGTGGAGGCAGAAGCCCAGCGGAAATGGCGTCCCTAGGATCATAGTAACGGAGGCTGAGAGACTCGAACAGCGCTGAAGAGCGGGTGCTCCAAGTTTGGGCCCTTGGGCTTCTAGGTCATGGCTGCTGCTTGAAGCCTCAGCATGGAAATCGGGCTGATGATGCGGATGACGACGATGACCACCACCACAACCACGACAGCAGTGTCATCAAGCCAGCTATTGTTGCTATTGAAATCTCTAGGACAAGTGTTTCACGGACTCCGATCTGTGTTCTGCCGACAGACACTCCTGGAATCTGATTTGTCTACCAAGATGCTGGGAGCCGGCTTCAACGGGTGGAGGTGGCACAGCTTCACTTGTCTGGTCTTGATTGAGACTCCGAATGCCCCAAGCTTTTGTTTCGGACTCAGGAGGGCCTTGAACGACTGAGATCTTCGGAGTTTTGGGCTTCTGCATTCTTTCCTTGCAGCGACTTGTGTCGTTGTTTTGTTTAGGGATGTTTAGGGTTTAATTGTCCAGCTGATCAAGATCAGCGCCTCGGTTCAATAAAAACGTTTAGGGCTGCTTAGGATCTGAAATTTGGATGATCGGCATTCGGCCAGGGTCCCCGCTCCGCATTTAGGCTTTCGGTTCGTGGGCGGGCTCCGAATCCCGAACGAAGTTCGAAAAGTCGAACAACCTATGTGCCGGTCCCTTGAAAAAGCTTACTCGATAACACCAAACCAGAAAGCCGAGCATGTCCAGCTGGGAAGGATTAGCAGATAAGCCTTTTCCTTGCACAGGCCATGCTGCACCGAATTGGCCGCGGGGAGGTTTTCCGAAGTGAGGAGAAGGCTTCGCCCCATCCGAATCATGACTAATTACTGCAGCAGCAGGCGCAAAAACTGCTGCTTTTCAATGCTTTTCATTCAGTAGCAGTAGTAACAGCAACAGTAGCGGAAGACCCTAAGGTTTGAGTGCTACGGAGTGCGCTTCATCATGTGACTCAGTCTATACTTCTCTGTCTTTGGACTTCCAGCTCTCAACTTACTGTTCGTCGGCGGTAGTACATTATCGTATATGATAATGCAGTCGAAAACCGGCATCGGTCTTCAATGTCGTGCCTTGGCTCTGGGAGCTCTAGTACGTGAATGCTGCGAGTTCTCACATGCTTCGCTCCTGCTTGTACCACTGCACTGCTTCTCTGGCATCGCATGCAAGCTCGAGAGGCGAGAGTCCACCCTTGGGCCAAAGCAAAATGGCATAATACCCTACGTGAAATGGACGAAACACTATGCCTGAACGGGATGGTATGCGAGAAGCCCACAGCCTTCACTCGGGACCAAGTTGCAGCAACCTCAAGAAGTAGTGTAGCATGATTCGTGTACAATCGTGCGATGCCTTTGTCACTTTATCAGTACGTAGTTTATAGCACGAATGAAGGTGCTCCTTTCAATTCACGTTCTCTTTCAGCGCAAGCAGCCCTTGCCTCGCAAAAACGGGCTCCCGAGATCCGGAGGAGGGCCAGCGCCGATCCTCCGGCTACGTTGCAGGACCGGGCTCAGAAGTTTAGCGGCTCTGTTTGGGGTGTGTAGAGCGGTTGGATTTAGGGTCAGATGGCTTTTAGGGTCTGGGTTCATCTGAGCCTTTGGTTTCAGGTTTAGGCTTTGTGCGAGGGTGGATCTTGGAGTTGATCTTGACTGGCTTTCATGTTTACTTACGGGTTTAAAGCTCCTCATGGGTGAAAGCGCTGTTATCTTCAAGGGGTCTTGTGGGTGAGCTTTTCATGCATATTTTCAATCATGTCATGTCATGTCACATGACATCCCATCCCATCACGTCATGTCATGTCATGTCATGTTATGTATTTCCCATGAACCGTCGGAAGCGGATTCTGGAGCCAGAGGACTGGAACCGTGCAGTGCGCCAAGCGCCTAAAAGCGTTGCGAGATGGGGCAGCCCGAAATCTTTCTTACATCCCGAAGGTTTGTCACGAGTCGCTTGCATAGTTTTATCGTGGTACAGGTTTAAATTAAGGCTCTGGTCTAATCAAACCGTCGCAAGCCCGAATTAGGGGATCAATTGTTTTAAGGTGAGAATGGAGGCGGCTGGAAAAGCTTAGCATAGCTTCAACTCTTGTTGGCCGACCTATCGAGCAACTGGCGCAGACAGGGTCTGGGTTTTAGCCGTTACTTGCAGGGTCCGTTTTGAAGTATGTCAATTGACAGTTCCGTTACTTCAGGAGGGCCCACGAAGGTTTAGGCTTTGCTCGCATCCGCTGCTCCGTGCTGAGGGGTGCAGGCCGAGGGAATCAGAATAGGCTTTCGGGGCATACTGCACCACGAGATGTTTTTTTCGACTCATGGACGAAGATCATGCTCGCAGATGAATCTAGAGCCTTAGAGGGTGAGAGCACCTCGTGTCCTTGATTTCAACTTCTGCCCATGATCCTGTAAATGAACATGGTGAGAGTTAAGATCTTCAGGCTCTCCATTACCCAAAACCCAAAACCCTAAGACTCTGGACAATCCCGACTGCCACTCTCCCTCAGGTTCCATGATCCTACGACCTTGACGTGGGCAGTCGACCTGCCGGGGACCTTGGCAGGGCTTCTCCTCCTTCCTGGAGCCTGCAAATCAGACTATACAATACATTATCGTATATTATATTATAGTAAGTCGTAGTACATCATAGTACCGTACATTCAAGTAATTTATGTTTTCGGCGACTGACACGTCCACTGACATGTATTGCGGTCTCAAGGTTGGGCTCCTCTCTCGACATGTCTGAATGTTGGAAGACATGCCCACTTGACCTTGCCAGGCAAGGGCATTGGAAGGAGATCCAAAGTGAGCTCCAGTCGCGACTTGATGACGACACGGCCCTTTACTTGCAGTTGAGGTGTGGTCATAGCCATAGCCTTGCAGAGTTTGTATATGGCACAGTTTTTGGAGCCAGTGCTGGTCGTGTTCGTTGTCCGCTGTTCGCTTACTTCCATCGTGTCGCTACTTTGTGTCATCGAACCTAGAAGAGAAGGGAGTTTCAGTGGCATTTGCCTGAGCAGAGACATCGCAGACATCGCAGCTGCATCATTGCATTCCAACGAACCATGACAGAGATCACAAGGTCCGGTCGCCGTGAGCTCCATGCCTGAGACTACCCATGGACGGGCCCAACAATGCCCATCAACCTGCTCGCCTAGGTGTGGTTTCCGAGTGTTTCCGCAGCTCGCGGCCCAGTGTGGAAGCTGGAAGTACGAGCTTCAAGGTTTCGGGTTTGGCGCAAGACTCGTGTCGTGGAGTTCTGCCGGATGTGCGACTGCCCTGAGCGTCCAGTTACCCATTCATGAGTTTGAGCCCTCCACAGCCGTCAACGGAAGATGATGTAGCTACACTAGCGCGGTAATGCCATCGAAGTCAATGGCAGCTCACAGCCCTCTGTAGGACGACAAGACAGAGAATGTCCCGGAATGGGGAATTGCAGCTGTGCTGGCTGCTGACTGCTGGGAGGACCCAAGGGGGGAAGTGCAGGGGCGATTGCCCGGATTTTTATTTCTGTTGCAACGGAGCAGCACATGGTAAAGACTTTGCCTGGGGCTTATCGGGATGGGTCCTGTGTTTTGGCACATGGTCTCGGCACCATTGCAGTGATCCCATGCCTTTCCCTGCATGTTGTGGAGGACAAAGGTAGCTTCCCAAAGACGCAGGAGATATTGAAGAGGTGGCGCTTACTCTTTCTTGCTTGGGATTCTTTTGTGCTGCTGCTGGGAAGATGGTACTACTACGGACCTCATGCCTTGGTACCAGACAACACAAGTCCACGCATCCTGTAACCGCAATGGATCAGGTTTAGAGCCCCAAACCCCGCGTCCGAGTCCGAGTGTGACGGCATGAACCCATAGAGAGTCGGCTTAGGGCGAGGAGCAGGCTCCTTTCGATCCGAGCAGATGTAATCCCTTGTGACGGTTGAGGATGTCCTGGCAGACCCGTCTCCCGAACCAAAACTTACAATGCGAGAGGGGGAAAAATAGGTTTGCCCAACAGATGTGTACAGCTGGCGATGGATGAGATGGCTACTGTGATATTTGGGGTTCTTGTTCTGCTATCTGTCCTGATCGGGAGGACGACGGCAGCTGCTAGATACTACTGGTGCTATACCTGCACGACTGTAGCTGCTAGTCGCGGTACCGGTCGTCGTCTTCGCTTCAGCTTTGTATGTCAATGATGCTAATGATGACCCATGACCAGGCTAGTGACGGAAAGCCAGACTCGCCGGATTGGAGTGCGTCGCAAGTTGTTTTGCTGGTTTGTCGGATCTGGCGTCGCAGGGGTATAGGAATTCGAGTTGGCAGCGCAAAAAGAATGCTTTCCCTAATCCCTGAACCCCGCCCTTAACCCCCTAAATCCATTCGAAAAGAGACCTTGCCAGGCTTGTCCGAGTGTGAGTGAAAATCCATTCGAAAGCTCCCGTTGCCGATAAAGCACCTTGGCTCTAGAGACAGAGCCGGGGCGCCCCTCGCGAGGCCCGGGTCCCGGAGGAAGTTAGGAAGCTTGTTGTGCTACAGGTTTATGAATACTAATATGAGCTCATATATACGGTGTATATATATATATATATACATACATACATACATACATACATACATACATACATACATACACACACACATATATATATATATATACATATCACATATATACTAAATGAACCTAGGCCCTAAAGGCTTGAGGTCCCATATTTAGAAACTTTGCAGAGACATGTGGAGCCTCGTTTGGAAAGTCCGTGTCGCATCCAATTGTTACATCGACGTTTGCGCCCTAAGCCACACGAAGCCACCTTTGACATTCACGCGCAGAGGTTTTATCTGATGTCATCTCGAACCCTGCAGTTGTTAATTCCGCAGTTGTTTGCTTCGCTATGATTCGCTTCTCGATGTGCTCGACCTGCATGACAGTAGTTGCGAGCACTGTTTATGTTGGTTCGCGGTTGCTGTTATTCAATTCTAGGGGCTAGTCATTTGCATGTAGTCTTGTCCTTCGCGAACGAGGAGCCGACTGTTGATCCTAAATCTGACAGCCCATACGAGCTTTTTCGCCAAGAGCCGCAGCCCAAGCCCCAACCCCTCGAAACCGAGAAGTGAACCGATCGCCCAAACCAGAGAAAGGTACAAGGCCACTCAGAATACTACAGGGGTCGGAAGGCTCAGTAATGGTATTTTGTTTGCTCTATACTCCAACTGGCCCCAAGCCATTCTAATGACTGAATGCCTGAGGCCATGGCCCAGATCCCCCCTGGACCCGAGTCGCGAGGGGACCAGGACGGGCCACTATGGCTTGCTATCAAGTCAGCGAACCCAGCTTCCGAGGTCTTACGTGGTGCAGCATTCAGGGTTTAGGGTATAGGGCAACAGGGTTTAGGGATGGTTCTGTGTTAGGGTCTAGGATTAGGATCATGATCTCCGGGTTGAGCTGAATACGGAGTGTCTGGAGTCAGTTTTGGGTCAAAAGGCTATGTTGGGAAGTCGCCTTCGTTACCAACTGTTGGTGTCCAGACTAGCCGCTGATGGTTGTTTGGTCGTTTTGCCGGGAAGTGCATTATTCACAGCTGGCTATGGATTGTGTGTGTGTGTGTGTTTTCGGGGTAGTCCCTGGCGAGCTTCTTTAAGCAAGGTACGGAAGTGCGGTCATGAGAGCTGAACCTGCGTATGCGTAGACCGTCAGGCCGTTGCACAAGTCACAAGTCCTGATGCAAAAAAGGGGACCTTAGGCCATGGTGATAGAGGGGCCTTAATAATTGCCTGCATTTGTTTGGGCGTTCCTTATTATATTTACAGTATCCTTTACCCCAAAATCCGTTTCTTATTATTAAGGGCCCTACATTAGGCCTTAGGGTTCACGGTGCAGGGTTGGGCCAGAGCCCCACACGCCCAATGTCACTGACCAGGAAGCCATGCGCAAGACATGGACCCTAAGTCCAAAGCTGCCTGTATATGCGGTACATAACATACCGTAAGTAGAATAATCATTACGTAATGTGTAGGGCGTGTAGGGGAAAGTTTAAAATGTCTAATGTAGAACAGATCTTTATATACTATATTGCATAGTGCATAGCATTCTGAATGCAGACGTACGTATATACATGTATGTCTGTATATGTATATGTGCACACTACGACAACACGCCCGCCCTTAACCCTCCTCCTTTTCGAAGCTGGTTAAACCGAGATAGCCTAAACCTTGAGCATCGTGTGATCGGCGAAAGTGGTTCCGTGGGGCCCAACTCCGCTGGTGGCGTTGCTGCCGTTTCCAAAAATAGGGGAACCTAATATAGCACCCTAAATAGTAGGATCCTTATTATAGGGACCCCAAAATAAGGTACCCCTAATTTTCGGAAACTCCCATATTGCTGCATGTTTGCTTGTGAGAACATCTCTCTGTCTCTTGGCGCCGGGCTGCTAAGGCGTCAACTCTATAAACCGGAGGTGATGCTCATCAAGCGACTAGTCGGCCACCAGCTGATCCAGCAGAATAAGCCCAGCGCTTACCAAAGCTTTCAAGTCGCTGCAATGCAATCTTCTGCACAAGACTGAATGGCAATCTCTCAAGACTCCGTCGTGTTGCAGGTTGATGTGGGACGAAATCTGGTCCCTGCGACACATGCTGGATGAGTTTCGCAATCGGTTCTTTGACGGCACTTATGAAGGTAGTCGACCATTGCGCTGACACAGGGAAGTTCGTAATCTTGAAGATCTGACGGATCACCATGACCGTCCGTGAGCTGTACATGCTTACGCAGAAATCGACCTGTTCACGACCTGCCGCGCTGGAGTGCGAAACCCTACGCCTTTCGCTCTACGCCATCGCAGGAATGACCAAATCTCCGAAGGGAGAAGGCAGCAGACCGACTTCTGCGACACACAGCGCCTTGGACCATTGGATGGATGTGCTTCAGCAGTGGGGCATTGTCACGAGAACCACATGACATCCAGAAGATGTGTGACAGTGACTATCGTATCAGGTTGCTACGTGTGACCATGGTGATGACGACAGCATTGATAATAGTAGCCATGTCATGGTGAAGGTGATGGTTGCTTGGACAGTCGCGGCGGCAGTGGTGGTAGTGCTGCTGCTGTCGCTGCTGCCGATGCAACTGCTGTTGCTGCTGCCGATGCAACTGCTGCTGCTGCGGCTATGACGACCTGGCTGACGATAAAGGTGTTTGATTTTGGTCTTGATGATGACGGCGGCGGACACCGCCACGACCATCACCATCATCATCACCACCATCAGGATTTGCAACTTCGGAGTCATGGCGGTTGCGATGTTGACCACGAAGGCAATGGTGGAGGTCGCGATGAAAGTAGTGCACACAAGATGATAGTGATGATATGCCACTGATGGTGATCAGGGTGGTGAATCTGACGACCACGGCGCTGATAGTTAAAACATGTTAAAGGAGTGATGAGGGCGATGCTCCAGGTTCTTTTTGGCTGTTTACGCAACTGCTTCTGCTTTGCTTGACAAGAGGACATTTTGAACCGCTCTTACCTGATAGGCCTCGCCTGGCATGTCCGAGTTGTGAGAGCCTAAACCGCTCTTCAAAACAACCCTACACCCCTCCTTCATAGGGCCCTCAAAGGAACCAGCCCACACCCTCTTACTCCAAAGCCGTCGAAGTCCATAAACTAGTTCCATGCCTATGGATTTCGGCGAGATGAAGATCCACCCGAACTTAGCAGGTTGTTAGAAGTATGGGCTAGTGTTGTCTTAGTGGTCTTGAACTCGCTTTCGTTTTACTTATCAGAGTACCTCGAACCACATGCCTCGCCTGGATTGTCCCAGTGTGAGCGCCGAAACCGTTCTTCTCAGTCCTCAGCCCTTAGACGTTAAACCCCAAGCCCGAATCCGCACTCCAAGGCACCGGGATCTTCTGCGCCGGCAAGCGCAGATGATCCTGGAAGACCTCCGCAGCCAAGCGAACGCTTGTGGTCATGCAGTGGAGGACCTACACCTCCGCCTGAAATCGTCCCTCCTTGTGTCTCAGATCCGTTAACACAAAACGACTATATCGCTTCTTGAAGTTAGGTTCGCATCAGCAACAATGAAGCGGCTGTCGCTTTCAGAGTGTAATTAGGCAAGTAGTAGCAGTGGTCGTGTGAGCAGTCGTGGGAGCCCAGTCTCAACCAACACCGTATAGTGTCGTATAGTATACAAATACCTTACGTGTATGTATACTGGTACGAATACTGGCACTGAAACCAATCCTAGCATCAATGCTGAGACTTGTACTGACACTAATCTCAATCGTAATCCTAATCCTCAACTCGAGCAAATCCTTACTAGTCTGGTTCATGCCATACCATACTGGGCTAGACTACATTATACTATATATGCTATACGATACTCTATATCATACTATGCTATGCGATACTATACTACAGGTACTTCTATATACTACACAGAGCCCCATGGAGGACATGGTCCCCGAGTTGCGGAATGGCCACCTTCGGAGTTTCGTCCTGCAGGAGGACGGCGTCTTCAGACGTGTGCAAGTCGTGCAATATGGGTAGTTCTCTGAATTTGGGTCCCTTGTTGGGGCCCTGTTTAGAAGTGCCGCATTATATTTATTATATGTTTTGGGAGTCAACAAACAACCCTAATGTAGAGACTCCCCCATATGGTGGTCTGAAGAGTCACAGGAACTACGTCCCTTTTATACATTCCAAGAGAGTGGTTATTACTATGAACTCCCCAAAGCAGATTAAAATCTAAAATTAGGGCCCCTGAAGTAAAATCTTAGATCCTTGGCTTGAGCAGTTACGTGCTGAATCCTGGCAGTCAGTTGGGGTCTTTATTATGACGGTGCCCGATAACTTGAATGAAGGTCGGAGGACTTCGATTCTGTTTGGTGTGGGTCCGCCGCATAGAATCTGCGGTTTCTAATCTAATATCTCTCTTTGTCGGTCATCGTTTGCCTTTGCAGCCTAAACCTACGAAGGGCTGCACTGCAATCGCCAGCGCAGCCACGTACACCCTATATTAGCACCGCCATGGCCCACAGACCCTCTAAGAACGTATCCTAGTTGCAGCCACTTCACCATAGCCTTTTTCCGAGTCGTTCTTGTACGTGACAGTAGGATGGCCACACCTCTCCGCTAGACCAGCCCCTTCCCTGCAGGATGCCGGCTATGGGAAGGTGCTTCATCGGGGGTTTGGGTTGTTTGAGGGTTTGCGCTGTTGGAGCCTCGTCACGGGGCACAGACGAGTTGAAGCTTCTCTTCCGACATGAATTCGATGGAATGTACTTGCAGTATGTCTTATGGAAGATGGAAGCGAAGACTTGTGATGTCCTGGCGATGAGGCCCGGGATGCTGTACCACCAGCAACTCCATCGACGAGACCCTCCACTGCCAGCACGCGACTGGTTGCCGAAAAGTAACGTATTTTTTCCAGGCAGAGACTATATAGAGATAAGCAAGTATCGGGAAGTTGACTCCGAAAAGACCCAGGCGCCTCTCTTGCAGCACACCCGATCTGCTGCAGAACTTGGCGACGCTCCCCTCCCTCCCCATGGGACAGCCACTAGGGCTGGATGACATTGACGAGGTTGCTGCGGGAATTCGAGAGAGCCTCGAGGCAGAGCACCAATGGCTGTTGGCGACTATCGCTGAGGAGCATCAGCAGCTGGAGTTGGAGGACCAACGTCGTGCGAACCTCGCCCGCTCCGACTGCGAGCCCTCCACTGCGCAGCTGAAGCGCTTCCTTGGCCGCTTACAGGACGTCCAGGCATCACCAGGGCTGAAGGCACTCACGCTGAGCAGCAGCCTTGCGGAGCCCGCGCCTGCGCCGGTAGTGGGCGGTGCAAGCGTTCGGCGCTTGCAGGCCCTCATCAGCCTTCGGCGTCAGAATGCCTCCCAAGCTCTGAAGCCCGTGCAGGAGGCCGAGCAAGATGCCCAGACAGCGAAGGGAACAAAGGGTGCTGGATACCCAGCGCCGGGGTTTTTGTCTGGGATCACTTTGAGCTTGGGCCCCGGCAAGCAGGAGTTCGATCCCTTCTTTGGCGACCCTATCTAGGAAGTGTCCAGCTTTAGGCAGGACCCTTCTTTTCCTCTCTGGTGTTGGTGCATCTGTAGGATGCAACGCAGTGCTGAGAGCATTTTGGTAGCATGTTGGAGGTTGGTGAATGCAGCCGGCCTTTTAGAAAAGTGTTATGGCTCCGAATTTAGGATTTGACTGACGATGCACCGATCAAAGCGAGCACCCTGTGCATCACTGGCATTTAAACACCGACCTAGATATCATCTAGCTTCGGGCATTCGCAGGTCAGACAGCACATCCCGTTGATGGCACGAAGTGCCTTGTACAGCTGGCTCGGCGTGTGGATTGCGGCTGTAAGCGTTTCACCGACTGCTTGGACTGCCAGAGGCGACATTCAGTGAGAGAAAAGAAAGAGATGCAGCTCGACCCTTCAGGCAGCCGTAATTTCCCCTCCGTTCCCGATCTGCCCTTGCATGGCAGGTTGGAAGGTCTACTTCCGTTTGAAGTTTTCTTTGCTCAATTGCGGGCCTGGCCGGTTTGAGTCGCTCGGCATCTCCCGGAGGATTCTGAGAACATGTCTGCTTGTTTACCATCCTCAAGAAGTATAGGGCCACATTATTTTGCCGTTGCCCATGTGTGTGTGTGTGCATGGATGGATGGACGGATGGATATGGCTCGCTGGACGGATGCGTGGATATGACCAGACAAACATGAATGCCTGTGCAGATGAAGCATTTCTAGAAATGCAGATCGATGGGATGTTGTTCTCAATGGGGGTCCTCTGTCTGAGCTGTCAGGAAAACGACAGCCGAAACAGGCACATGCCAGGGATGCATACTTGAAAGAAGCACTCGCATGTACCTCCACAGGCCTCCGCAGGCATCCGTGCCCATGCATATACGTACATGTGCCTACCGCGAGCGAAAGAGAGGGAGATCAGCATATTGCCGAGGTCGTGAGCTGATCAGTCATTCTGTCAGCATGCTCGGCGTGGTAACTTGTTCACTCGTTTACACACTTTACTTTCTTTCTATCTAGTTTGAGTATGTACACCTCAAGACGCAACTGCCAGGCCACCCCGCACAAAGATTGCGCCCCATTCGGACAATCTGAACTATGCAGCGGGCCTAAGCAGATGCAGCGGGACAAGCCCATCAGCCAAGACAGCTCTACATTTACCAAGCTTGACAGCTCGTACGAACGAACTGTAACAGACCAGGAAGGCAAGAGGACTTAAAGGATCGGAGGTAGTGATAGATCTTTATCGGGGGGCTTTTGGAGTTCTGCTAGATTGCTCGGGTTGGTGCATGTGGGTCGGATCTCAGACGTCGTGAAGTCTTGAAAGAAGTCGGGAAAACCCTCGCGTCCCACACGCTTGCACTAGTCACTAGTCTCACAGAGCAGGTTGCCGTGGGCAGAGCAGGATCGCACGCGAGAGGGGGCTCGGCTTACTGCTTTATGCCCGCGGAAAGCAACAGAACATCAGCATAGCAAAGCTGGTTCGCAGTCAGCTGACTGTTTGGAGTATGCCACCGCCCCGCAGAAGCTGCACTAAGCTTCGCTGCTCTGATGTTGGCCTTCGCTTTCTTTTCCCAGAAACTTGAACGTAGAGCCTCTCAAGTGGTGGGATGCCCCCGAAGCCCGCTAACCTTTAGCTCGGAGCATCAAGCTTCGCGCCTGCACCGTACTGTTGGGCCACAAACCATGAAACTGGAAACGCCTCATCCAGTTCCCCATCAAATTAGCAGCTCCTGAAACCTTAAGTCCATCAAGAAAAGCTCAAGCCCAAAGAAAGAACATGAACAAAGCATCGAGAAGCCCTCCCACTGAGATCCTCACCTTACACCTGGCTCTGCAGTCTGCTCCTCAGAGTGACGAGCAGCGGCTGGGACTAGGATCCTGCTTGATGATCTTTGGCAGATGCTCCTCGGTGAAAGGGAGCCCCAAGTCGATAGAACCAGGAATAGCCAGATGCAGGTAATCATAAACTTACCTAGGCAAGTGTGTTGAAAAAAGCTCCAGCGAGCAGGTTTGTGCGAACGAAAACCTGCACTAAAGCTGGATGGCACACCCAGGTCGCTCCTCGGCCTTGCACAGCTACGAGTGCCGTAGCACCTACATTGAGTAGCACAGCCTAGCTACGAAAAGCTTGCGGGTGCGTAGCCTTGAAGCTTTATAGCTATACGTGCGTATTTTTATAATATCATTTTCTCTATGTGAGGAAGCCCCTTTGTAACACCACCAGCCCTCATGAAACTCTTCGATATTGAATAGGGTAGTTCCATCTCGATGGAGGTGGTGTAGAGTATGCCGTCTGAAGCTTCATCTTAATCAAACTGTATTGAAGGCTCTCCAGAAGCTCCCTTGGATGGGTCTAGGCTGGCGAGCTCTGGTGGAGTGGAATAGCACGGGTCGCCTGTCGACAAAAAACGCCCCCGCAACAAGTTATGCTGCGATGCTCTGAGCAAATCTTGACCCCCCCCCCCCTTCCGGCGGCCTGTCCGCCAGATGCTCAGCCGAGCATCCGGAGCAGCCGTAATCTGTTGTAATTAGTCGAGTCCCTGATATTCGATATTCCGCAATTCCGCAGTGCTCCCAACAAAATATTCTACTATAGACTATATATAGAGTATATACTAGATATTTCACTTTACATGATAGTATAGGCCCTATGATATGATGTCATATTGCGCATGTTCTATGAACACCGAGGTTGGAGCCTGGCGGCTGCTCCTTGCAAGTAGGCGCCGCTTCAGTCTGAAGCCTTGGGGCTGCGCTTGATGCTCTCGTTGTCCCTGCTTTAGGGTTTAGGGTTTCAGGGTGTAGGGTTTACGGGTTTAGGGCTTAGGGTGTAGGGCCTGCTTCCCAGCTGATTGGCAGAGTCTGGGTTCAAAAAAAGGGTGTAGGGCCTGTTTCACCGATGATGGTGCATCCTAAACCCGAAAACTCAAAGCCCTAAGCCAGGCCACCGAACGCGACAATGGGAGGAAGGAGAGGCAAAGAGCTGAGAAGACCTGAGCCAAGAGAGTTTAGGACGATAGTACATCATTATATTATAGTAGACTATCCGATTTTATAGGGGATATTATAGCAGATTGTGGTATAGTAGAGTATATGCTCGTACATTATAGTATGTTATGGTATATTGTTTAGTGTATGATCCTATATCATGGTAGATTATAGGGCTGCGTGGTTTCACTGCTGAGCCGCTCCAAGCGGGATCTTGATCGACTCAGGTCCTTGTCTTCGACGCCACCTTTACCAATTCAGCATGGAGCTTGGGACTGCTCAATCCAGGATTCCAGGAAATTTCCTGCTGAAAGCGACTATCTTGCAAAACTCAGCCTGGAGCCGACACATCCTTCCAAGTTCCGGATGCAGCTGGAGGCAGTTAACGAGTCCGATCAGAGCCTCTACGCTTTGGCCGCATTCTTGTGGTTCCGATGTGATTTGCAATGAATCGACACTTGTTCTAGCCTGTGCACGGCTTAAAGATACCTAAAAGTTTGAGATAGGCTGGCCGACAACCCGGGTTGAACCCCGAAAGGACCGGCTCGTTTGGTCGGCTGATTTAGAGCCGTGTCCAGTTGCTGGGCGTTGCGTGATGTGAGACACAGGTATCACAGGAGCGGGTGATTCCAGAAGTTACAATATCTGTCCAGTATTGTCCAGTGCAAGGTTTGCTCTTTTCGCCTTGACTGGCTCTTAGACTCTTAGAGCCTTCATCAACTGTGGGGGCTTTGTGTAACACTTTTATCGGTTTCAATAGGATCCGGCACATTTCGAACAAGGGTCAGCGCTTATTGGGGTTGTGGGGGCCTCAGTAAATCGAACAAGGTTTGTATAAGTTTTCGTTCACGGGTTCTATAAGGGCTACTACAATATTACCGCGACAAGGTTTCCAGCATGGGGGCCTTTGTAACTAAACTAGGGTGTTTTGGAGAGAACAAGGAATAAGGGGAGTACTATTGGTATTGATTTCGCCGTTGGATTTGTGCGCCTCATCCTCGCGCCTTCTCGATCTGCGATCCCGGATACCAGCAGGTGCAGGGCTGCGGAAATTCGGAAATAAGAGGATCTCGTTTTCGTCATGGCACCAATCCAGACTATCCCACACTAATCCAATGAATTGAAGCCACTAAACCCTAAACCCAAGATCACAGAGTGGGGTTCCTTTAACCCCTGAACCCCTAGACCCCAAATCCTAAGCCACTAAACCTAAACCCAAACCCTTGCTAAGTAGGCAAAAAAACCCAAACCCTAAAGCTAAGTGGGAGGGAAAAAACCCAAACCCTAAAGCCCAAAACCCCTAACCCAAAATCCGAGTTGCACGAACGTAAACCCCAAAAATCCTTGAGGTCGTACCAGGAACCTCGCCGGGCATGCCCGACTGTGAGTGCTGAAACCCTTGAGGTCGTGCGCTTTTGGCATCCTGGACTCTGCGGCGAGGACGCCACAAATGTCGTTCAGGGCTTTGGGTTTTGAGACCTGGGGTTCATGTTCGGGCTGCTTAACAAAGGAATCTTAGTCTGTTTTGTGTCATTCTAAGGGAGTTAAGTATGACTTGAGGGTTCAGGCGTTTGGGCTTCGTTTTTCCCGGTCAAACGCATCGGCCTCAGGGCTACGTGCGAGCTTAAAGTTGAGCTGCTTGCGGCTGTGCATACCATAAAGAGTATCACCGCATATTAAAGTATATTAAGCAGGATTGGTTGAGTCGCTGCGGACCAGATGCAAAGGGGCTACGGGTTAAAACAGGGCTACATCAAATGAGTATTACGGCTTCCTTATGCGAGTGAGGTATCGGACTTGTTAGGCCATCACGGCTCGTTGAGCTGGAGGCAGACTGGGAGCTTGGTTCTGTCTGGAGTTCTTTCCTTGTTTCAATGTTTTTGTTGGGAAGATGTCTCAAGTGAAGCCAGACAACTCACCTCAGACATCCTCAGCCTCTTGACCCAGGTCATCACTGTCTACTGTACAGCCCCTGGGCTTCCCAAGCTAACTAACCGCTTTACCAGTAGAACCCTCGTACCAAAAGCGACGGAAGACTGCAGAGTCCGTAGGCTTGGACTGGAGCTCTGGGCCTCGGCAGGAGCGCAAGGCCCTGCAACTGTCGCACCTGCTTCTTTCAAACGTGCCGGGAGCTCGAAGAATGGGTTTCCTTTCACCGTGGTACCTTTCACTGATGCACGCATTCAGAACATGCACTGATGTTGTTCAGGAAATTGGGACTCTGGGCTTAGAAGGCCTTGGCTGCTGTCTTTTGCAGTGCCTCCGCTTCCAGAGGCTGGCAGCAGATACCGACAGCGACCAGGCAAACAGCTTAGGGGGGAGACGTGGTATGACATGTGCAGCTTCCTCGCAGTACTGGTTACATTCCTGCAGAATATCTTTGGCACTTGTTGACGATTGGGAGGCGGAACTTCCTTGGGCGTAGTATGTCGTCAAGGCTCCATGACACCTGATGTGCCGTTTTCCGCAGCTGGTGCAGAGTACAGTATGGAGATGTGCCTTGCAGAGCCCGCCACTTCTGGTGCATGCAAGCCACAAGGACCCAGAGGAACCAAGCCGAGTTTTGCCCACGACCCAAGATCCACGCTAAGTCTTCTGAGTGTATGCTCTTTACAACCTCTGGTCCTTCAAGAACACCGCTTGTGGACCCCTGGCGCAAGCAAAAAGTGTGCAGATGTGCGACACAGCCCGCGCTAATGGGAGATTCATTGGTGTGCTGGTGACTAGTTAGTCGCTTCAACCCCAGTGTTGAGTCTGCTTAGGAGGAGGGGAGATGTTTGCAACATAGCGAGGAAGGGATTAGGAGTTCCCGTTCATTGATCGATGCTCAGCCACTCACGTGGCTAACTAGTGGGGTGGAGCTGCAACATGAAACTGGCAGATGCATCGCGGCACCGAGAATCGGAAGATCTGTTGGCCTTTCTGGCTCCACAGCTGACTCCTGGCAGCAGTTGCCGCCTGCGGAGGACCCTTGCAGTGATGAGGCCGTGCTTGCATGCTGTGCTTCCGTCACTTTTTACCTACGTATTCAGGGTTTAGATTAGATGATTAGAAGTAGTGTAGATGGCAATACTTGCTTGTTGCAGGTGCTGACAGCAGGGATGGCCACAGAGTTCGTTGTTACTTGCCTGCAGGTAAGCGGATTCCAAGTACAGATCCCGATTTGCCACGCCCCGGTGTAAATTCCATGTGCATTTTGTAGAAACTTGAACAAGAACATGTTGGCCGTGGACGTGGAGCTGTCATCAATTAGCATATCCAGCTCTGCATTTTCGGGCCGGTGGCTGCAATACTTATGCAATACTTAAATACCTATACAATTTTGGCTTCCTGCGGCGTCCCGAAGTCTTTATGCCACGGCGTCGAAGCCCAACTACCGACCTTTGGTCGTCCTCAAGATTGTTGGAGCGTAGGCTCTGGAATAGATATGCTCGTATTTTCTGAATGTTGACGCGCCCAGGAGCTTGAAAACAGCATGAAATGAGGTCCAGCATCATGAGAGAGATGCGGGGAGATGATCATATATAAAGTATTATATATTATCTAGAATACTTTGTATAATATCTGTAAATAATAATAATAATATATATATATATATATATATATATATATTATATGTCTTCGCTTTGGTCACAGGTGCTCGGAGCTGGCTCTTTGTCCGGCTCAGGAGCTTGAGGGTTTAGGGCCTTCGAAAAGCCCACTGCGCCACTCCGGCAAGCGGAGTTCTAGGCATTTCTAGCCAGGGCAGAAGCAAGCTTCGAGACGTGTCCTGCAGAATCCAAGGGACTGCAGCCTGAGCCTGAAACGATCGGTCAGGCGGGGCCCTGAAGGTTTCGGCTCGGGCTTGAGGGTGCGTCAAAACGAGGAGGTAGGGTGCAGAGGTTAAGAATGAGGTTCGTAGCGGCCTGAAGTACGCCCGTGATGGACGACTTGAACCAAAACCGAACCAAGAAAAGCATGAACTCAAAGCGACACTTCTCATCTGTAGTGTCATTTGTGGTTGAGCATGCCCCTTATCGTCAGCACCCTCATCTGTGCCGTGCATCAGCCGCCTGACAGAAGCAAGCGGTGCTAGCGAGGCGGCCGAGGAGCCGACACCCAAGGGCCTCCGCTCGATGCCATCGGCCGTTTCCACCATGGCGAAGCCAGGCATCCCGAAACAAAACAGGGTCCCAGTTAACAGAAGTCCTCAGATAGTGCATGGTATATGCCTCATATAAACCTGAGCCTGCACTCCGAACTGATTGAGCACCAAGTCAGGGCATTGGGTGCCGGGTTGGGTCAGTTCAACAGGTTGGGAATCAATGGAGCTGGACACGGATTTAAGACCCACGCCTGCGAGCGTGGACAGGGCATTGGGACGTATAGTAGTTGGAATCAAAGTCTCAGCGGTAACAGTTCGGCAAAAACAGTCGAATGAAACAGTGATTGGAAGGACTTCGCAGGTACAGAGCTTTTTGGATCCTGTTGTTTGTGGGTTGCAGCTGTTGCGCTGGAGATGCGACAGCTCATGCCTAGACGATGGTTGCGAGTCCCGACTCCCCGAACCATTCACGTTTCAGCGCACTTTCACTATCCGTCTTACGTTTACGACTACTAATACTATCATTGCTCAAATTCTTCATGCTACTTCTTATGGGGAAGCTCGAGGGTTGCTTTCTGTCGCGAGCGGACCAGTGCAGGAGATCGTGATCGAGCATCTGCTGTGAATGCTTTGAAGCTGGTCTGCAGACCTTTATCCAATCCCCGCCTCCCCGAAGCTCGCCAGGGTTCGTCATGCTGTCTTACCCACCTCAACCTGAACCCTTGGAGATGCTCCCTCCGGCCTATTTGTAGACATACGATGTATATATCTCGTCTGGACCACACCTCATGACATTTTCGCTCACAAGCGGGCCTCAGACGCTAAACTCCAAAGGCCTCAGACCCTAAACCCCAAAGGGACCCTAAACTCCAAAGAAGGCTTCCTCTCCCTGGCCGACCTGAGGAATGCTCAGGACTCCGTGCACCTGGAGGAGCCACCTCGGATAGAGGACGGCCCCGGACTGCAGAAGCTCCTATGATAGCTTCTACCTGGATTCTACCTTATATGAAAATATTAAATCTTGACAATGTTAGACTACTGGCCGTGGTGTTATTCTAGTCTTACTGCTACTGGTCATCACTGCTACTTCTTGGTGGTTTTAAAGGCAATCCGTGTTCAGCTCTATGGAAGTTCGATAAAAAGTCTATTTGTAGCTGGGGCGACTGCGGATGTCGGCAATTACCGGCCAGTCTCCCAGATGCAGTGGCAATCCCCACGGTGCCCTTTTGAAGAGGATCTCCGAATCCCGCAGTTCTCTCGGATGGCGATGGTGGAAGTGCAAGCACACCCGGAACTCGGCACATCATGCCATATAATAGCATACTAAATCTCAAGTCCCGTCTCTAATCTTGCTGGTGCCTGGCACCCATAGGTGAGGATCGCAGATTGCAAGGATTTAGCAACATGGAACTACGACTGACGGATGCCCCTTGTGGAGGAGCTCTTCGTGGCTTCTGCCCTCTTTGAGACGGGCTGTGGCATGGTAATTCTTCTCAGCACCCGGGTCCGCACCGAGGATTCGGTTGAAGAGTTTCAAATTGGAGTCTGAGGCAATTGAAATTTCAGATTTCCGAGGCGTGAAGCCAGCCTGGAGCCGTTCCGCGCTTGCTTGAGGTGTTCTCGCCATCGCCTGGGAGATCGATGATGTCTTCGTGCCACAATTCCGTCAGTATCTCGACGGATGATTCCGAACGTGAGTGTGTCAATTCGGGTGTTTGTGGTGCAGGCCCAGCGCTGTCGTTTTACTGGAAATACCCACTGGTAGACCACAAATCCGTCGCCTTACGGCATACATGCCTAATGGGCCGTACCGGTGTACGACGACAACACGTCCAGGGAGAAGGCGACCAGGCATCTTAATCTTGTTTGCTTGTTAGACCTGTTGTGCACCCTGCCTGAACCGCAGAATCCCTATAATAATTATAATAGTAATAATAGTAATAGTAATAATAGTAATAGTAATAATAAGAATAGTTATACTTATATGATAATACTAATAGTTATAATTATATTTATAAAAAAGTAGTAATAACAATGTCCTATCCCGTTGGGAGGGAAACAAACTTATAATAATAATAATAAAAAGAAGAATACTAATAATAGTAATAACTGACTGAAGCCCCAGGAACCTGGCAGGCCTGGAATCCTCGAGCTGTCGGTTTTGTTCATAACTCTTCTTCAAACCCTCAAACTCAGGTTCCTGGAAAGCGGCGTCACCGGCTTCTTTCTGGCGGAGTGGATCGTTCGCTTGAAGGCTTGCGCGGCAAGTTCGAAGGCTAGCTTTGAAGAAGTGGCGAGGTCAAGTAAATTGAAAATGAAGAGTCATCTCAGGGGCTGCTGTTTGTTACATGTCAGTGTCTCTGCTGTTTTCTGCTTCGTTCTCGCAGCAAAGCTGGCAATCGTTCCGCCAGGGAGCCAGGAAGTAGCTCTCTGGCTACACCCGTCCCACACCAGAGGCCAACGGCTGGGGAATGCTGCTGCGGCCTTTGGGCATATTTGACACCTTCCTGGCGCCGCGCCTGCACAACGGGGGACCTTCAATAGAATGCCACGGGATTATCTTCTTTTTTGTTGAGACCCTGTCGCAGCAGATCCGTTTTTGCTGGTGTAGTTGTCGGCATGTCTCATTGCGGTCGGCTGCAAGGCTGCAGTCTTGGTAGCTAAAGGTGGCTTCGAGGTGACGGGTTTTGGGCTCATGAAGGCAGCTTTTGTGGAGGTAGTAGAGTGGAATCAGAGCCGGGCCTTGTTGCGGGCCTTGCCTGCCGCTGATAAACCCTCCTTCAGCCGTCAGTTTTGAAACCTTCAGCCGCAAGCCACGTCTAGCTCCTAAGACCTTGTAGCCAGAGCCATGAGAGAGGCAAGCGCATTCTGTTTCTCTATGGGACGGTTTGAGGCTTAGATGGGCTTCTGAAAGGCCTCAGCTTCATGCCAACCCACAGTTCTCTGTGCCCCCCCCCCCCGGACAGGCTCTGAGACTGCGGAAGCCTCAAAGGTCAGAGCCCCGAACTTTGAAACCCTGGGCCCCCCCCCGAGCCTTGCCAGGTATGGGTGCCAGGGGTCTTTGCAGACATTCGGCTGCACAGGAGCGTAGCATTGAACAAATGGCTTGTTTTTTTATGACCATTTTTGATCCCTTGCTGATGGCATACGTCTCCGGCCATGGTTGCATCTTTAGAGGAAAGTTACGCAGTGCCCACGCAAACGCCGAATCCGCTAGAGTGCTGCTTGTACTGTCCAAAACCCGTGGTGTTGTTGCCGCATCTTGAAATTGGTGATCATGGGTGTTACGGTTCGGTTTGGCGTTGCCCGGATTTTCTTTCCAGAATATGCCTGTCGGTGCG